AAAAACACTAAAACTGATGAGAATTTAGTAAAACGACGAGAAACTGTCAAAAATAGTAAAAACAGTCAAAACCGTTGAAAACAGTTAAAAACTGTTAAAACAGTCAAAGACAGTTAAAACTGATAAGAAACAGTTTACACGACGCAGAACAATTCAAAAATCCTCAAACATTTAAAAAACACAAAATAACACAGATAAACGATGATCCAAAAAAAAAATCTAAAAAAAAATAAAACTCAAACAATTATAAACCTAAAAATCAAACTGTCCAAGTCCAAAACAAACTAATTCAAGCCCAATTACAATACAATCTACGCTTTAAACAGTGAACAATTATCAGGTCCAAGCTAGCTTGAGATGTCCTTGATAYTGTATGATTCTACAACTTTAAACAAATAGCAACAACACTCTAAACAGGCTGTTGTGACTTCTTGTTGCTGTTCTTAATCCCAGAGAGCAAAGTCAAGACAATTGAAAACACAGTTGTTGCTGTATAAACTGCTTCTGTGCCAGTCCTGTGTAGCTGCTGTTTCAGTCCTGTATAACTGTCAAGATGAAACAAAACAGAATCCTTAAAAAAAACAGTTTGAAATCTGTTTTAATGTTGTACATTACTAAACAAACAAAGCAGAAACAGCAACACCTCACTGCATAAACTGTGAAATTCAACTGAAAACAACAGCAGGTTTGATGTTGCAGTCAAATGATTTAGCTTAATAGAACCTGTGTAGCTGCAGATAACAATCTTCAAGTCTCAAGTCTGCTCAAAGCTAGCAGTCAAAATGAAACTGCTCAAAACAGTCTCTTAAGCTTCCTGTTATGACAGCAAACTTCTGCTCCAGTGCTCAAACTCAATCAAAACCAGCAAATAAAAACTAAAAAAACTAATTCAAATCTGCACTAGTTCAATAGCTGCAGATGGGTCTGATAAAACAACAATCTTCAAGACTCAAATCTGTTCAAAAATAGTTCAATAAACCTGCTGCTGTATCATTCATTAGAACCACAAACACAACAATTTCATACACCAACAGTAACAAATCAGATAGATTCTCAAATTAACCAAGACAAAATATTTACTTGTTGTTGCTACTAAAGTGTTAACAATCCTCAAAACCTTAAAGAAACATCAAGAAAGTTCAACCAAGACAGTTTACACAACAACAGTCTGCTCAAACAAATCAAACATCAATCAAGTTTGATCTCTCAAAATGCAGCAAGCTATAGAAACACTCAAACTGTTTTAAAGTAGTTCAAGACAGCAGATTAAACTAATCAAGATGCTGACAGTCACCTGGGCTGCTGTTCCAAAATTTCAATATAACAGCAACTCCCTCTGCTTCCCACGCTGTTTCAATGTACTATCTTCACACCAATGGAACAACTAGCTATTTAACCTATGAGAACCTGTGTATCTTCAAGGCTGTTACAATGATTCAAAACAGAAAATTGTTGCACAGTGCACAGCTAAAATTACACTTCACCAGCATTCCTACCAGCTTCTGTTTAAAACAGTTTAATGATTTGTAAATTGCTCATCACACTCATCACAGACAAGAAACAAGTTCAATGAACAAACATTACTAAGCAGTCTCTAAAACACACCACTAAACTGATCTAATTCAGTCAAAACATGATCTTAAATCACTCTCAAACAATGAA